AATTTTAATAATATTATTTACATAAATAATATTAGATAAATTATTTTAATATTTGAAAAATAATATTATTATTTAGTTAATAAATAATATTATTTATTGCATTTGATGTTTATAATAAAAATATTTTAAAAAAAATTACCAACCAATGGAAAATGAATTGCACAACATTATCTAAACACTCTAAAATGATTTCTAGAAAATGTAATTCATTTTACAGAGTTCATTTTCCGGAATCTATTTTCCGTGAAACAAACAAACCCTAAGTATTGGTTCTACTTAGAAATTTCCCGACAATTAATTTAAACGTCCAAGTTGGAAAAAGAATTAGAATTTTGATTCTTGAGTAAACACCTGAATATGGATTTACTAGAAGTCCTATGAAAAAATTGAACGATTTGATTGAAAAAAACCTTGAAATGAAAAAGAGACTTGGATCTTCTCTGATAATGGAAATAACCTAGGAATTCATTCTTGACTTGATAGAACTACGAATTCATCGGTTAAATTCATGATTTGATTTGAAAATCCCTAATAATCGATTTCTAACCTTGGAGATGAAAACATACATAGATATTCTAATTTTTGAAAAAGTATCTGAAGATCTATTTGTCGAAAGCACTTTATATGGTTTAATTAATTGAAATGACCAAATTACTATAAAATTATGAAATGATTAGAATAACCTCAAGTACTAAAATAAACCAAATACACTTATGACCTGGATTAAGTAAATGTCTATAGATAAGTTAGAAAGTACCGGTGAAGCTTTAAATGTTGTAACACCTCTAAGGATTTTTGGAGTACAACCTAAGTATGTTGGTCATCACTATTACTATTATAATATTGGGAATAAGTATCATATGAATACATGTTCGACTCCTCGAGATCAGATCAATGATGATTCTGAAGGTGATCAATTCAACTAATACAAACAGTAAGGAGCGAATAATCGTGAACTATCTCGGTCTGAATGATTGGAAAATATCGTAGTGTAGAAAACTTTTAGTTCAATTTGACTTGAAATTCCGATAATTTGATATAAATATCGGATATTGTAAATCATCGTCTTACCATTATTAGATAAAGTTACTATAATTCTTCGAAAATAAAAAACGTCCAAAATGTCACTAGTAGCCTGAATGATGAAATCACTCATGTTACATCCGACTTAAAAAATTTTGATGTGAGGTTCCTAAATACCTTTCTTATGCTCCCAAAATCCTAAGTGGTTCTAAAGCATCAATTTTTGAATGTCTGATTAGATTCATTAGTAATCAAACTCTTTTAGTAGAAATCTCATTTCTGAAATCTGATAAACTTGTAGAAGTTTGTGTTTCCCTTCCTGATAATCATTGCGTTCCTTTGGAAGGATATTTGAATCCTCTAGTGTATTCCTTATGCACATAAATATTTTTCTTTGGTTTTAAAAGTATAACTAATATTTGAAATAAAAAAACATAGTTTATGATCTTTGGTTTCTAATCTCTAGATTTTTATCTCTGGTTTTTGATAATAGATACATTTGGCTTCTGATTATGATATATTAATGTTTATTGTTTAACATGTTTTATACCGGGTACTATTTGGGATATGTTGTGGAGTTTTGCAGGTTTAACTTTGATCAAGCTGATAATTCCTTATGGACCTAAGACTACCCTTGGGTGGGCTCCTTGGCCCAATAGGCCTAATGATAAGACCTTATGGACCTAGGGGCACTCCCGTCAGGTGGCTCCTACGATTCGACTAGGGTAAGTCCTTATGAACCCTAGGTGTTCCCTTAGGTTGGCTCCTACGCCAAATAGGCCTAGGGTAAGTCCTTATGGATGTAGTTATGAGGAACTACATATTAGTGTTTGTTGGAGGGTATTATTGTGATTTTAAAATCTATTTTACTGAAATAACTACTATTTCTAGTTTTGTTGGAACACACTAGACTCCCCAACTCTATCTTTTGAATTTGTCTCTCTAAACGTTTCCTCTAAACTGTAAGTTTCCTGACTGTTACCTAAATTAATTAGTGAAACCTCAACTCATCTCTATGTCCTATATATTTCTGGATAACTAAGGAAGTTTCATGATTTACTAAATATTTGTTTGTCCTTTAGCATCGTTTGGTCGTTCTATATTACTGAGCTTTCCCAAAGCTCACTCTATTATTCACCATTTTAGGTTAAAGAAATTGATCTTGTGTAGTATCTACATCAGTATAGGAGTTCCTTCAGCGTTGCTTGCAGAGTAAGATAACCGTATAATTGGGGGCATATAGGTCACATTTGTTTTCATATCAGTGCCTAAACTTATTTTGATATTTATATATTACTGAATATGATTTATAATGTATGAACAATTTTTGAAATTGTATTAGTATTTATAAGTTACTTTATGGTTTTACATATTTTAATAAAATTTTAAATTTTCCTGGATTTTTATTATGGATCGCTCTAGTGGCCCTAATGTGACACCTCGGATTAGAATAAGTCAACCGTATTAGTTTGAAAGTGTTACATGGAGTATCATTAGCTGCATGATACACATAGTAAGTGAATTTGGTACTATTGTGCGCAGCTACAGTGAGTACATAGTAAGTGAATTTGGTACCATGTTACTTTAGGGAATACAAAACATAGTAAGTGAATTTGGTACTATGGTATTCCCGATTATCCATACATGATGTTGTGTTCTACAACACTTGTATATCTTTCTGGCACTAAAAGTGCAATATGTGGATACTAGTAACTTGTGTATCATGCATTCTCATCATACATTAGGCTAGGGTTTATATGAAAAGTACATGTTTTCTTTGTTCGATGAAAGTAAATCTTGCATTGAATACTCTTATTGGCATAAAATGTCTTATATATATGAGAAATGATATTTTACATGTTATATGATGAAAGAATGACAATAATAAGTCATTTTTATATGTTCATATATTTTTTATATGACAATTACAATACTTTGATTATTATGAAATTTTTATATATTGAAATGCCTTACTTTAGTTTATAAATGTCTCAGTAAATGTATACTTAGCGTGGGATGATTTTCACTCATAGGAAAAAGAGATTGAGTGGAGTAAGGAACTTAGCCTGATATCACTTTTCGATGACTACTTATCGGTATCATTAACGACATCATATTCTTGTTTTGATTTTCTATTTGGCGTGTATACGAATATAAGTGTTATAATATTTTATATGACTAAATTTAATTGGTCAAAAATGCTCTGATACGTGTATGAAGTTTAAATGGTTTATAATAGTTTTTATGTGTAAATCTAGTAAGTAATAAATGGCTATGAACATAGATTTAAGTTTTATATTTTGATAAAGTTATATTTTAACATCATAAAGATGAATTTCTATATAGATAGTTTTTAGGCAGTTTCACTTAGAATATGATATAGTATTGAACTACCATGTTGCTGTCTAAAATCATATTTGAGTTAGATGTTAAAATATTATATTTTGATTTTACGTGATTAAATATTTTCATGATTTATGTTAAATTTTATGGTTTTTTTAAAGAAACAAAATTTTATAAATTTTCGAACAATATATGTTTTAAATGTTTGATGTGACATCTCTGGCTCGTATTCGATTATGAATACAAGAGAGGAGTGTTACACATAGTCCTTCCTATTTTGGTCTCAAATCAAAATTGTCTTTTTTATATCCATGTCGACCCAAGACCAAGTCCAACTAAACCCAAACCTGACCCATTCTTCAAGATAGTATTATAATCATTCATTAGCCACTGTGGTCAATCCGAAATTAAAATCCCAGAATTTAGGACGTTATACATGTAATGTATGTCAAAGACACATAATTACACAAGCATACGTACGAGTTGGGTCGGACGACAATGATGAGGCACGTGTATTAGCCCATATTATTTAGATATACGCGTTTTTAAGTATTTCAATATAATATTTTAAATATTTATTTATTTATTTCACTTGCTCAATTTAACCCGTATTCATTCTCATATTCGTATAATTATGTTTCTTCGACTCTTACTGCATACGTTTGTTATTTTTCTATAGTAATTCCGTAAATAAATGTTGGCGATGATAATTCAAGCTGAACGTAGCAAGTGGAGAAATCGCGTGAGGAACTTAAATTAATGTGGTTTATCCGGTAAGGAAAGGGTTCTGGAACTCCCCCATCACACGGCACATGGTCAGAATTTTCCACCCACCCAAGCAATAACAAGCCACACCCCCAATGCTTGATCGCTTCCTTTTTGTTTTAGTCAAATAATTATTTCAAAATTGAACCCATAATTTGAAGACTTTATTTTGTAGACGGGGTCAAGGAAGGGCCTAGAGAGGAGACTTCAAAACTAATGCCTAACAAAATAAGGTTCTAGTGGCTGGCTGAACACGTTGGCTACAAAAATCCCCACACACACACACATATTATATATAAATTACACGTTTAATATTTTAACTATCAATTTTATTTTATTTTGGTCATTTAATTATCTTCTTTTAGAATTATATATTATATTATATTATATTTTGATTTCAATTTGATCATCCAATGTAAAAATTAATAGAACCATTGATGTACCATTTTTTTCAATGATGATGTGGTATTATCCTTATGGTGACACATCATCAGCCACCATGGACCGTCACATCATCATTGTAACGGTCAACAACGAAAAATATTAATCAAATTATCATATTGAGCTTGTTTTTTGAGTTTGAAGGTCACATTGGATGAAAAAAATAATTTGAGGCCTGCATTATTTTCCCCCCAAAAGTAAATGGGCTTTAGATGCCGTATTTTTTAATAGAGGGTAATAAAAATAAAATCAAAATTAAACATTAAGTATAGTTTTAAAAAAAAAAGATTGAGTGACCAAAACGGACTTAAACAATGGTTGAGGTTGTTTACCCTATTATATATGTGTGTGTATCCCTTACAGCACCGAGTTAGTGTGGGACAAAAAAAATTTTAAAAAAATTGTGTGGGAAAAAAATAGTAGTAGCAGCCGGTGGCATTACCATCGCTAGCCATCCTATTTAGCTATCGCCATTGTTGCTGCCATTAGCATCATCAACAATTTATAGGAAACCCCAAAGTAGTAGATAAGCAGATAGAACAGGTCAAAAATGGAAGTAGCAGCATGCAAACGCAGCCTGAGTAGAAGGGCCTCCTCTTCCTCATCGTTCCGCCTACGGTGCCCCAGCCTCAACTCCGTCCGATTGCGACGCGTATTCGACATCTTCGACAAGAATCATGATGGTATCATCACCGTCCAAGAGATCCATCATGCCCTCGCTCGTCTAGGCCTTGAAACGGATCTCTGTCACCTTGACTCAACCATCAATTCGTTCATAAACCCCGGCAACATTGGCCTCACCTACGATGGGTTCGTCGCTTTGCATCAATCGTTGGACGAAACTTTCTTCGGGTTAGACTTGGAGGAGGAGGAGGAGGAAGACGAGTCGGATTTGAAGGAGGCGTTTAAGGTGTTCGACGAGGACGGTGATGGGTTTATTTCGGCCAAGGAATTGCAGGCGGCGTTGTGGAAACTGGGATTACCGGAAGGAAAAGAGATAGGTAGAGTTGAGCAGATGATATGTTCCGTTGACCAAAACCATGATGGGTGTGTCGATTTCGTCGAGTTCAAGCACATGATGCAGGACGTTGTGTTCTGCAGCTCTTGATCGTCCTCCATTTTGATTACAAATTTGTTTCTTTTGCAATCTATATATGTATGTTGTCGACTTTGTTTATTTACTTTTTGTTCTTGCTCCGACTGTGAAATTGTGTTGCTGGTTGATCCTCGTCGCTGTCTTTCCTTAATTCTTCAGGGAAAACATTATTGTATCTTCTTCACCCCCTTTAACCATTGAACCATTATCCTCATATTTACGAGATAGACATGTATGCAGAGAGCGAAGAAGACGAGATTAGATTAAAACAACTCTTGAATCGTTAGCAATCCGTAGAACATACATTTTACAAAACGCAAATCTTAAAATTTAATTTTGTTGATTAAATAAATTTACCTCGTCCACAATTGATGATTTATTCATTCTAATCTACATAAAGAGTCATAGTGAGTATAAAGATATCATTAATCGAAGATTTAAGAGATGAGGTCAGAAAGATGGCAAGGGACAGAAGATTGCTCTAAGTAGAGGATGAAAGAGCTTGAAAGAAAACCCTTCATTCAGCCTTCTCTCGGAGTATAAAGACTTCGACTATAGGATAACTGGTGTTAGGTCCAAGATTACCATGTCTATTAATAGGTATAAATGAGTTAAGAAACTGATAGGAAAACAATTGAAAAATATTATTATTGATTATTCGAACATGACTTAAATTTAAAATACAAATTACACATTCTAATTGACTCTACCTTAATTTTAAATAAAATAACAATAATTAAAATTTTCTAATCAAATCCAATATTATTCTATTTATAAACAACTTCTAGAATTTAACCAACCTTTACATGTATGATTCGTTAAAAGAGCAAATGAAGGGTCCCAACTCAATGCACTAACCTTGTGCTTTAGATGATGGAACACTTGGTATTATTTTGAAGTAGTTGAAATGTTGGTAATTTTTGGGGAAAAAAGAATATGCTATTTTGTGGTGCCGACAAGGTTGGCATGTGATTGTGAACCATCTCTCCACTTTGTAATGTGAAGGTCGTGGGAGAATCTTTTATATGTTAATTTTAAATTTTATAAACTTGTCTCACCTACAACTATTTGTTGAACGGCCCAAACATTAAGCCTACACAATATTCGTTTCCACCTTGAGTGACATGTCTAGGTCTTGTCCCACCTAGACTATGGTCCACCCTATGTCAAAAAAATAAGGTAAATTACTCTTTAGTCACCGCTTATTATTTAGTTTTTATTTTGGTCATCTAACTATTATTTATTTTAAATTATAACGTTACATTTTGGTTCTGGTTTGGTCACTTGTCTTTAAAAAATTGATTGTGATGTTAACGTGTCATCATAGGATAATACCATATTAGAATTGAAAAATAATTAAAAAAGTGTCATGGTATCATTGTTATGTGACCAAAACAAAACAAAAACATAACATTAGGTATGATTTTAAAAAAATAATAGTTGAATGACCAAGTAATAAGAGAGTGACCAAATAGGTAATTTACCTTAACTAAAAATATGTACGAGTTATATTAAGAAAATTAATATATAATGTTCCACTTCTTATATTTTTTTCTAGATATAATCTAATTATATATGTTATTGTTATTATAAACTAATATATATTAATTATATTAGAAATTATTTTTATTATATTTACATCGACCTAGACCATAATTTTTTTTCTGGATTAGCCTTGACCCAAATATCAAAATTCCATTGGTTTACTTTTAGACTTAGTTAAAAAAATATACTTAAACTATATATCTTATATATTTTAAGTATTTAAAGTTTTTTTGTCAAAGTATTTAACGTTTTCGACGTTATTAGTTCATGTATTTTATTTGATGCACCCGTTAAAAAATTGTCAACCACTCTAAACATGAAATGAGTCAAATTTAGAAATTAAAAAAAGTATTTTAAAAAATAAATTATTATTATTTTAAATTTTCTAAAATTTCTCTAAAATCTAAAAAAAATCTCCCAAACTCTAAAATTTTTAATTCTAAATTCTTTATAATCATCGTTGGTTATCTTTGGTCATCACTACCGTTGTCGGGCCACTCACATATTATTTCTATCTATTAACCAATCATCGCTCATACCATTATTCCAAATCTCTAAAATCTCAAATACTCTTGTTTCTTAATTGAAATCATAGCCGGCGACACCTTACAATGTTGAATTCTACGCCGGAGATACACTTTCACTAACCAAAAAGGCTTAATTAAAACAATCAATATATGCTTTGGGTATTACACTGAAATTGATTTTACACCGGCGAAGGGACTAGTCTTTAGTTATTGGGAAATCTAGGTTTTTAAATGGCAAAAAGGTACATGAGGTTTTTCTTTCCTTTTTGATTAATTTATGATAAGTGTATCCATTAAAAGATAGCCCTCCACTATTTGAGATTGAACGCTCATACTCCTGGTATTCTTAGTGTTCAAACCTAGAACCTCAAGGAATACCAATCATTCATTTATCACTCACGAAACTTGATTCATGCATACATAAAGCCTTTCGAATTTTCAATAAATAAATAAATAATGTGACCCTCAAATTATTTTTTGTACTAAATGTATCCCTCAAACTTAGACAAAATTCTTATGTGACTATTTGACCAACGATTTTCATCATTGATTGTTACGGTATTGACATAATACTTCACGGTGTTGACATGATAGTCTATGATGTTGTAAGACCCCAAATTTTCCCTTTGAAACCCTAAAAATTGAGAATTTTACTTTGAATCCCTAAAATTAATTTTAAGGATTAAATTGATTTTTCAGAAATTTTAGTGACCATATTGTAAAATAAGAACATTTTGGGTCTTCTCGTATATCCTCAAGAGTTGAAGGATTCAAGATGTGATTACCAATTTTAATTTGAAACAAATTCTAACCTTCTCTGTTATTCCACGAGAGGCGCCAGGGTCTACCTCTTCCTTTATTACTTTAATTCTTCTCGCCCCCGCTGCCATCCTCCTTCCTCTGATCACGCCACACCGCCGTTTTGTACAAAGTAGGTCATCGATCAGCGTCCCAAAAGACCCCTCTTCGTGACTCGAACCTCTCCGTCGTCGTGGAACCTTCCCTCGTTATTAAAGACCAGAAATCGGTCTCTCTCACTGCGCGTCGTCGTCGCGTTTTCAGCCGTTGAAGGCCTCTTTGGGACCAGGTTCTCGACAGGGAAGGCCTAGTTGGCTTGGGTCGCGACTGGACAGCATTGGTTGGTCGTGAAACCCCCACTGTCAGTTTTATTTTGTACTACGGCCGACTGTCGGTTAACTTGTAAGTTTTTACCGACCGTTTAAGGCCACGGCAAGGCCATCCGTGAAGTCACCGGCCCTAAGGACTACTTCTAGAGTGATTGCGTCGCCGGCAATCCCGTTTAAATATACCGACAGTCTGTTATATTCGAACCAAACCAACTTTGGTTCCCCGATTGAGTCGGAAATAATTTTAACTCGTTAAATTATTATTTCGTAATTTGAAATTACTGAATTGGGATTTGAATCCAACGTTGTTAATTTTGCAGGAGAAATTAAACCGAGAATCGAGTTACTGTCTCCTCCGTCGTTACCTGTGAACTTTGAGCCAAACCGTATTTCTCTTGTTGAACGGGAGTGATAGTTGTTATTTTTAGTATGTTTGGCTTCATCATTAATTTAGAGTAATTTTATTCATTTAAATTATTATGTAGGTTTTGATTCGGGTCGATTTACTACTTTGACTAATGTGGAAAAGGTTATTATTGTCTTTAACTATTTGTTGAGGTGTGTCTCACTATTTGGTATTACATTATTTTGTTTGGATGCTTAATGACTTGCTTGGTTGGAAATTGTTGGAAAATATTTTTACTGTGAAATTGATTGAGATAAATGTGAAAATGCCATGTGATACATGTTGAATTGTCGAAATCGTAATATTGTTGTGCATGCGTAACATGTAAATGTGATGAATTATCGGAATAAGAATATATGCTATGGAATATCTGTTCATGAATTATTATTATTCGGATCAGATTAGACATCGGATATGTATATCATTTGCAAATCATATTGAGAGGAATTTTGATAGAGGAAGTTGAATTTTGATAGAGGAAGTTTAGTGCATTCACTCAACGGGATGAACGCCACTTTCAAATTTAATGACCTTTTCCTTTGTGGTGGACCTTATTTCATATGATGTGATTTGATTGTAGATAGTGTGGTTCTAAGGAATCCACTCTTCGGATGATGTGAAAGGAGTAAGGGTGGGTACATAAACATTTGTATAACATTTAAATAATGATTATCGTTATTTGATTTGGACAATGATTATTAATATTGTTTGATTCAAACTATATATGAATTATGATTGTTTGCACTTTAGAGACACACTAAGCTTAATAGCTTACATCCCTATAATTTTTATTTCAGATACTCAGTTTTAGGTGAATCGATACTTTAAGAGATACGTCATTTATTTTTAGAATTTTTTTATTTTGAATAAAAAAATTTATTTGAATTTCTAATTTCAGATTTATATTCGTAACTTTATATAATGATAATGGTGATTATTATTATTATTTATGTAATTTGAGACTTTGGATATTATAACTATTTTTAGACCGTTCATGCATGACTTTTCGAATATTTATCATTTATATCATCTTTTTTATGGACATTTGTTTAATAAAATTATAATGTTTGAATTTGATGATTGCTTCTTTAATTATAAGAACATGGTTTACTCGAGGGAAAAATATTTCAATTGGGTTCTCTAGATTCAACCTAATTCTTCTAGGTCGAGTTTAAGGGGTTACAGATGTTGACATGAAGGTCTACGATGGCTAGTGTCATGGCAGATGACGTGATAGTTGGGCTAAATTGATTTTTTATCGAGTTCAAGGGACAAATTAATTATTTTTAAAAAAGTTCAAGGGCTTATTTGATTTTTTTAAAATAAAAGTAATTTAAATGTAGATATAATTTTTTAAAATTAAATATAAAAAATACTTTAAAAATTTTAAATTATTAAAAAATTTAAAATATATATTATTTTTTATTTCAAATTTAGTTTGATTTTATTTATATAATCTTGCACTTATCCATCATGTACAAATTTTATATTATATAAACATTTTTTTTA